AGTGGTGACTGTTCTCTGTTGATCATTATATTTTGTGAGTGGTGACTGTTCTCTGTTGATCATTATATTTTGTGAGTGGTGACTGTTCTCTGTTAATCATTATATTTTGTGAGTGGTGACTGTTCTCTGTTGATCATTATATTTTGTGAGTGGTGACTGTTCTCTGTTAATCATTATATTTGCTGAGGTGACTGTTCTCTGTTAATCATTATATTTTGTGAGTGGTGACTGTTCTCTGTTAATCATTATATTTTGTGAGTGGTGACTGTTCTCTGTTAATCATTATATTTTGTGAGTGGTGACTCTTTTAATCATTTTGTGATTGGGTAAAATGAATGATATATTGTTCATTACTTAGAAATAAACATAGTACCAACTCTTTATTGAAAAATATTGTTAAACATTGTTTAGCTTAAATACTTCACTTATTACACTTTGTAATAATATTTAGGTATGTCCCTGAATCACCTCGTTGGCTGGTAGCCAGTAGACGCTTTGAGGAAGCAGAAAACGTAATATTATGTGCTGCAAACAAGAATAACTTTCCTGAAGTGCATGCCAAGACAACATTTCACCAAATGATGGACGACATTCAGAAGGTATGTAACAAGATTATACTTCAGGTGAAATATTTAAAATATATTAATGATGTTCTTATTAGCACATAAAGTGTATTTATTTAAGACTTTAAATACACAAATGTGAACAAAAAATACAAGTTGAATAGGATTATACATAAGAATTTGTGTGTTATAGTACAGAAATGAAAGTCATGAAATGTATTTTTACTGATATTTTTCTACTTTCAGTCATAGATAACAACATCTCTACATGAATTGGTTTATATTGTAAATGTTTAATATCAACAGGACTTGTTTTATTATGACTTTTATTATGTAATGACTGTAAGATTAGGTTGTTGAGAGAAAGGTGTTGGACATATTTTGTAACAATCATATCTACTGGGAAATGTATGGTAATCATTACACTCATTGGGAGATAAGACTGTATGGTAATTATCAATTGATCATTATAAAATTAGGCTTGGAGTTATTGGGATTGTACTTCACAGTTATAACTATTTTATTGTATCAAATTCAATATTCATAACATGGTGATAATTTCAGTAATTTTGAATATGATCTGTGGGTAATAGTTGAACAACTTACAACAGATCAAGCGTAACGTGTACTTTAGAAATGCTCCTATATCAAGATTAAAAAGATTAGATGTTGTCAAGGTATCAAAATTAAAATTTTTCATTATTGAGTCATTTTTCAAGTTTCATCAGCTGTGATAAGATATTTAATTTGGTTTACATTATCTACAGTACAATATTCAAAAATACTTTATTCATGATGTTAGAAAAACACGTAGATTCAAGAAGTCTTGATAGAAATGAATAAAAACCCTATAACCTGAGCACTTTCGAAAGGTGGATCTTTCTTCTTCAGGGGCAAACTTATATCATTTTTAGGCATTACAATTTGTGGTAAAAACATAGGGTACTCTTAAACATAAGATATTTGTCAATTTTATAGAAATAAAAAGTCAAAACTGATGAATAAAATCATGTTTTGTCTCATTCTCAATGAAATCTCCCTATACCCATGAGTTCCCTTATCATAGTCTTCAAATAATTTTATTTGTCATATTCTGTGGTATTTTAAAATTAGTATTATCATAGAAAGTCAATATTTTACATTTCAATTTTTTTCATTGTATTTTACAGGAGTTTGAAATTGATATGATAAGTAGTATTATAGGAAAAGAATATTGCAGTAAATGATAACCAAAGGAATTGCCTTGTTAGTGTTTTTATACTTAGATGAGAGATAGAGCTTTTACTGCAATGAGGATGAATTATGTAAAAGCAAAGATATGAAAAATATCATGATGCCACTTCTGAGCATATTGATAGTTTTTTTACTACAAATTGAATTTTAGCAGCCAAATGCTTTTATTAATCTAGAAACCTTGGTAATATATTCTCTTAACAAATGGAGACATGAATTTATGCTGTTGACATTGACATGAAAGCTAGGTAAACATTTATTTCTATTTTGTTTCCACTTTAACCCTATCTCTACAGGTCTTGCCTATGGTCAGGGCTCATAGGCTGTTATCCTGTTTGTGGACTTGCATTCAAAATTTTATTGAACTACTATTTTATGAATGTATATCAGTAAGTTTGGTAGCAAATTGTAGATTATAATTTAAATTTTAGTATGATCCATTAATTTCTTAATTTAGAAGTAAATAAAAAAAAGAAAAGGAATCCTATATATTGATTTTTGTGTCACGTGGTATGTTGAATGCAGCATTGGTTCAAATAAGATGTTTGTGATGTCCAATTACAAAGTCTATAGTTTCTTAGGAATTAGGAACTCATTACCAATATTGACAAGCTAGAATATCAACTAAGAACCTCTTATATTTTCTATTTGCTGAGATACTGCTCATGTTCTGAATTAAACACAGTGGCCCCGCCCACCTCTTATCATTTTTGGAAAGACATGCATACGGACACTTACTTCTGTCTATGATGTGTGAATAACTAATCAAAAGCTCAGAATGTCCCCCTAGTGGCTTTCTCAGTGTAATTGAAGTATTCAGCACCATACTTGTTCTATTATAGCTGGGATTTGAAAAGTTAAGGTAAAACTTTAATGAGCTTGAAATTTCATTTTTTTTTAGACCCAAATACAGCTTAGTTACTAAGTTATAGTGAAATTCTGTGGTATTGATATAGTAATTTATGATTTTGGGTTATTTCAGAATGTATATATAAAACCTGAAAAAAACTTATTTCGTTTCACATCCTCCATGTGTGAATTTTGATAAGGCTCAGCAACCAACAGCAAGTGGCAAACAAGTTCAAAGTTCATAACTAGAAAAGATAATTATTTTGTATAATTCTTTATTTACTGTTCTATGTCTTAAGAAGAATAACTGAAATTTAATATATTACTAATATACATACATAATGTATTATAACTGAAATGTGACTGTATTTTACAAAGTACTAGTCCATTAAAACACAGCCAAGACAGGTCACTTTGTGAAGATCAGCTTTATATTCTTGGATATGGTAACATCAGTGCTCCTGCACTGCATCATTGCAACTTCAATAATGGTAGTTTATAATGTTATGAAATTTAAGCTATTTAGATAAAACATTTTTGTTATAATGTGTAGTCATTCTAGAACGAAAATAGCATAATTTATATTTATTTCCTAATTTTGTATTGAAGTTATGAAATCAAACCAACCCGTACAGATATACAGTAATGAAAATAACAGATAAGATATAAAGCTTTTTCCA